TCCAGTTTTGTTTCAGTGACTACATTCCTGAAATACATGGAATGTCCAAGAGGAACTTCACGGAGCAACACAAATGAGGAGGAAAAGAACTTCAAAAGGTCTCTTACAATTAACCTTCACTCTTCATTGTTTTTTGAAACTCCCTTGGAAGCATGAATTTTTTTTTTTAATTTGGCAAATGACTTTGGTAAATGGTTTCCTCCTAGTTTAGATTCTAAATTTGAAATTTAAAAAATTACTGATTCATTGTTCAATCATAAGCACCAAAAGAAAACTGAAACAGAACCAGGCAAGAATTCTAAGTGATTGCTATCATTGTGGGAAAAGGTAGAGAGCTCTAGTTTATAGTTATCTTCATCGTTGTCATGGTCATCTTCTTCCTCTTCTTGAAACCAAATCTAAAACATTCAGGAGACTGAGCATTCCTTACAAGTGACTATGAATTTTCTAACTATGACAGAATGAGATAAAATTCCTGAGAAATGCTTTCCATCTCCTGTCAGAGCTTGCAAATGCCAGCCTTAACTCTTCCATTGCTACACAATTCCTTTTGTGTAACCAGATCTACTAACCTCCTCCCTCCCATCCCTCACTCTTTCAGCTGCATGCAACAGCATCCTTGCTTCCCAACACAGGCTCATTTCTTAGCCACAGATCTGTATGATCATTTTTAAAATCTCTGGCTATCAGCTTCCTCTTTACCCCCAAATCTCTACATTTCTTTCCTCTTCAGCAATAATTCTCAACTCTCAATTTTCCCTAAAGATCTTTGTAGCATCTGAAGTTCTTAGGGGTTAAAATGGACTTCTTAATCATCCTTCTTTGGAAACAGAAATTATTAATGTTCTACTTTCTGTCCAGTAACTGTAGGCAACAAGCAGCCTTCTCTACAAACGCTACCAGATATAAGCAGAGCCATACCACCACTAAAGATCCAAAATATCCCTCAGTTCTCAACCTTCTACTTTTTGTTTGGTTTGTTGGTTGGCTGGGTTTGTTTTGTTAACACTCAGAAAAAGTACCTATATAGAGAATCCAATTTTTAAAAGATTTTGTCTGGTCATACAGCACTATTATGGAAATGTCTAGTAGCTCAGCTCCAGCCCTGTATAGCTTCAAGGCATGAAATGACTAACAGAAAATGAACACACTCTGCTCTGCACCTCAACTGCCAAGAATCAAAGGCCTAATTTGAGTCTAATTCATATTCTGGAGCAATCTTGCTTAAATTCACTTCATATCTAAATTTCTTAATGTTTTCACAAAGAAGCTAATAGTGCTGCTGCATCCTAACAGAAATACTACACTGAATCAGCAGAGATGTGTGAGCTTACTAGTGACAGAGGTTATTAAGAACAAGTTACATGGACGATTCTGTACATTTCCTTCATAATCAGAATGTTGCCTTGGATAAAGCTGCTTTTTTATTTTTACACTTTCATACTAGCATGAAAACAAACAATTCTTCCAATTTGTTTCTCATATTTAGGTCAGCACTATCTGATGACAGTTTTGTGTTTGTTTAAACTATGACTACCAGAAAATCTGCTTGAAAATGAGCAGTCAAAAGAGGGTGACTTACAGAGCAGAAACCCATCCCTCACTTATTTTCCATGTGACAATTTCCTTATAATCAATCTTTCTATCACTCAAATTGCATTCCCAAAGCCATACAAAGATCAATAATAACCACTGATTAGAACCATTTCTAACGTCTTGAGCCACTCCTGGGAATGTGTATGGGACAACAAAGGATGTTTCTACTACTTCTATTTTAAAAATTGCATTTTTATTATAGCGCAGTCTGAGATTATTAACAATACTGTCAATTTTTAAATAGCCTTTTTTCCCCAAACATGTCACAGAGAACCTTCTCTTATTAACAGAAATTATGATCTCACATTTCATAGGGTTTTCTCTCAAGGCAGTAATTTATCATACAACTACATCTGTTTCTGTATCTGTATGTACAAAATGTGATAACCTCACATTTTTGAGAAATGACACTAACAATATGATCAGAAAAACATGTGTACCTGCAGAACAACTATTACTTATAAGATGAAAAGATAAATCACAATTGTGTACTTCTCTACAACCCACAAATACATAACTTATTGCCAAGACTTTCCATTGTGGAAACTGGAAAATACTTTCAACTGAATACCAATCTGAAAACAAAAACAGAAGTGATTTCATAAAATACGAAAGCTCTTATTGTTTTATTCTGTACCAGGCTACAGTAATAAAGTATTCATGAAGACTAAGTTTGTATAGAAAAAAAAGATAAAGTGATCAAACTATGTTTTCATTTCTGGAACTGTACAATACCAATGCATTCCCAATCTCTGGATTTACTTCAGATCACAGGCCAAACAGAAAGTAAAAATAAAATATTTTGTAACAGCAACTCCACACAGCAGGAAACTCATTCATCAGCATGTTTCCAAACCCTGAATTTACCTCATAAAGTCAAATTTCTAGTAAAAATCACTAGAGATCCAAAGCCAGAACACATATCCAGCCTTCATCACAGTCAGCAGTCCCTCCCAAGGGCAAGGCCAAAAATATCTCCTGAGCCAAACAGAAATTCCTGGCGCAAAGGTTCACCCTTATAAGCCTTTTCTTTAGACACGCATTTTAAATCAGTTGCAGCAGCATATTACCTGTACAGATGTTCAGGAAAGGAACCTACCAACATCTGCAGGCAGAGTAACAGGGCTTAAGAAATAAGCCTTACCAGCAGCAGTATCTGACATAAAATAGGGAAACTACAGAAAACCCCATAATGGTGTGCATGAGTAACAGAACACCAGAATGACATGACAGAAACTAAATTCACTTCCCTTATAAATTTACAGGTCAGAGGTAGAAACGACTCACAAGATTTTAACTGAGAAATGCAGTCCTATATTATTAAAAGTATTTTTGTTACACTCCCATATCTCTATAAACAAATATATAAGGAGTGTTAAGTGGGAAAAAGCTTAAATTTGATAAATATTGTGCTAATAAATTCTAAGACAATAAAATATTCTTCCACAAAATGCCCAGACCTATAGGAAAATTATATGTGCCTATATTTTGCACTCAGTGGAGTCAGCAAAAAAATAAACTTTCTACAGTACCTGTCACTTTTGAAGACACTAGTAAATGCCTACCCCACTTTAAATCTGAAAAGCACTTTAAAATCCCAGCATCTAATTTCTTGTTGACTTTGGATGTTAGTTTCTTGTTAAAAGTCATTCCATGAGACTTCAAGGAATGACTGCTATATTAACTAAAATGATACACTGCTTATCTGTCTGCAGCATCAACTCTAAAAATCTGCAAGATAAGATAGAAAAGGATTAGAAATCTAATTTCCAACATGAAAACTAAAGCATTACTTTTTTGTTATTGTTGTTCTCTGGGATTTTCCATTGTCTTCTCAAATGTCACTATGCAAATATTCACAGATAAAATAGGATATTCTCTGAAGGGAGAAAATAATTTTAAGACGAGAATGTACTTTAATTCTGCAGGTGAAAATTTAGCAAATCAGCTAGCATTAATCGAGCAATGAGGTGACTCAAGCCTTGTCATGGAGACCATTTTTTAGGTGAAATTTCACATTTAAAATCCCATAAACAGTGAACCTCCAAGTATTCTGCCTAGAGCAAAAAAATATGCCACCAGAATATTTATTTGCAAAGGTTTAAGGATCTGGATCGGTCATGTTTTACACTCAAGTAGTAGATGGCCTCTATGGTTCCTTTCAGTTCCAATCTTCCTTAATTCTGAGTAACTTTACCAGACTCTTCTGAGAGCTTAGTAATTACAAACAGAACTCGAATAGGTCAGAGAATTCACAAAGTTGTCATCAGTAAGCCTGATTAAACAACACAGAAAGATGGCAAAAGAATAAAGCATTCTGAAGCAGGAATAAGGAGAATATGAGCAGTTCGCAGCCCCATGAATAAAACACAGCATACAACACAGTCTGGCAGGGTTTTGGACAGAGTGGACAACCTCTGGTTGCCTCTGTGAGGTGGCAACTAACTCACCCAACCAGGGACAGACTTAGTAGTCTCCTAATGGTTTACTCTTCCTGAAGTAGCCAAACTCCTGCTGCTAAACCATGTCAACCAGAGAGCGAGTCTCCTAATTTTAGCGCAGTCTCCTCTATTAACAGTTTTCCTACTTCAGAGCAAAATCCATTTCTCAACGCTGCAAAATGGTAAGACACCTCGCCTCTCTATGGTGACTCTCTCACTTATGGTCCAAACAAAAGCCATCATTTTGACTCGGGTGAGATTAAGTCTTCCATCCTGTAAAAGGGCTGTGGCTATCTCCAGGGTACAGGCACCTGCGCTGGCTCTACCCTCAGTCACCATTGTGCTGTCACCGTGACAGACTCAAGATTCTTTTTTTTTTTTTTTTTTAAACGAGTCCCGACTGACAAACGGATCATCTCCTCGCTCTCGAGCGGATGACAGGAAGCGCGATCGCCTTGCCGCAGACGGGCGGGTGGCAGTGCAGTCCGCACCTCGGCGGCAGCCACAACGCAGCTAGCGAACCCTCCAAAGTTTCTCCTCCTCCCACCCTGGCGGCCAGCCGAGCCGGCGCCCCCAGCTGAGCCGGCGGGAAGAGCCGAGCCTGCGACCTGCTGAAGGGCAGGGACAGCTCCCGGGCGCCGCCGCGCCAGCTGGCTCCGCTCCCGCCGGCCGGGCGCGGGAGTCAGAAGCGACCCCGCCTTCTATGGGCGACCCAAGGCTGCCAACTTTTCCGCGGCCCCTCCGCGGCCCAAACTTTGCGGGCCGCTTACCCGGCCGCGGCCGCGGCCGGGACCGCGCGGCGCCGACCTTCACGCCCGCCCGAGCCCCCCACCGCCTTCCCGGGTGCCCCCTCCCCGTGCTCCTATCCCGGGTGGGAACCTCGAGACTGCGGCCCCTTCCCACAGCCCACGGCCCCCGGGGACCCTGGGAGCCCAGTCCTGGCGCCTAGGGCTGCCCGCTCACCATTGGTGAAAGGCTCCATCTTCCCCCCTTCGCGGCTCCGCTCGGCGCGAGCGCCCAAGCTTCCTACTCAAAGAGCTGAAGCGGCCCTGCCGACTGAGCATGCCCAGCGCGGCCGCCCGGGGCTGCCGGGGAGGTGCGCGAGGGGCGACGCCGCTCCGCCACTCTGGTTACGCCGTGCCGGGTTTTCCCGACCGCTGCAGAAAGGGAGAGGGAGGCGAAGCGATGAGCGCCGCCCAACTCTGGAGGGCTTGGGGGCGGGGCCATGTTAAGGCCCGCCCCCCGGAAGTGCCCCAGACGTGAAGCCGCCGAGTCCGAAGCGCTTTCACTTCTTCTGGCTAGGTGATATCCCGCTGCATTCCGTTGGGCTTTGCGTGCCGCAACACCCGCAGTGTCCCTGCAAAGCACAGTCCCGGAGAGCTGACGTCTCAAAAATGGAAAGCAAACAGAAAACACGCGACCGTGAAAACGCCACGCTGTGCCTCAAATGGCGCCCCGCTAAAGAGTAGTTCGTCTGTTGGGCGCGGCGAAAAGCGGCCTCGCTGAGGTGCCACTGAGGCCGCGGCCTGAGGGCACAGTCGCCTCTGGACCGCGAAGCGTAGGCTGCCCGGAGACCTTGTCGGCTCGGTTCGGGTAGCTGGGGAGCAGGCCCAGCCCTGGAACTGCGCTGGAACTGGGACGTCGCGGGGGCGGGGACGCCCAGGTCCTGTCCTTAGGTTGAGGCTCCGAATATAAGCGGATAGCAAAACCCGGCCAAGATCACCCGGTCCGGGCCCGCAGGGACTACAGGAAAGGGCTGAGGCCCTCGCGATCCCCGCCCTAAATCAACACTTGCGGTTTCCTGGGGTGCGGCGGCTGGGGCTGGGGACACTAGGCCTTAGAAGCTGTCTTCGCCGCCTGTGCTCCCGACCCTCACGCCGTGGCCCCTACCGCCGCGTCCTTCTCTCCGGGGCCAAATCCGAGCAGCCCCTGCAAGCTTGGGGCCCTCTCAGCTCCGACGATGCTCGTCCGCGCCCGCTTCCTTATTCCTCTCCTCTAACCCGACACCGTCGACACCCTTTCCGTGGAGGCCTCTGCGCTCCCGCCAGCAGCCCCGGCCCCTGCAGAGACTTGGCTCTCGCTGCGCCCCAGTGCGCCTGCCAACTGTCACAAGCTCGGAGGCTGTCAACAGCAGGGCGTGCAAACAAGCCTCTTGGAGCGCACAAACAGCCTGAGCAAACAGGAACGGCGGGATGTTTTTTGATCAACACTAGAATTATAAATTAGATTCAAAGAAGATCGAAACACAGTATTGTATTTTAAAATGACAATTGCATTACATTTCCTACTTCCCAACCTGTCTTTAGAATTTGCAATGGACTTAGAATTGGACTGAGAATAAAAGCAAAATTCCCTCCCTAACGGGGACCGCATCACACATATTCGTTAAGATACGGCCACAAAGGCCTTTCTGTTCAGTCGCCAAATTCTCCTGTGCTGTTAGCTACCCACCCCACTCGCGTGTTCCTTGCATAAGGACTGTTCCTCGTGCTTGGTACTTTCTCTGCTGATTCTTCTTGTCATTTAGGTCTCAGCTCAGAGAACCCTTCACTGACCACACACCTAAAATAGCTACAAACATAATCCATTTATATTGACCCGACTTTATTCCTGCCCCCCACCCTGTACTCACAAGCCTTTAAAACAATGTTTTTGGTTTGTCACTTACCAGTCTTCCTCTCAAGCATACATGTTAAGCCATTGTATTCTAATGACTAAATAAATGTGCGATGAATACTTTTTTAGCTGAGTAAGTGAATGGTATTTACAGTTCTTATTCACTGATATTAAAAACCCTTCAACAAACATCTCAGTATTGAATGTCTCTAATTGTTGTGTTTGTGGTCAGTCATTACAGAGAAAATATCTGTATTATAGGATACCTCAAACTCAGTCTCTCTCTCTCTCTCTCTCTCTCTCTCTCTTTCTCTCTCTCTCTGTCTTTCTCCTCTCTCCTCATCCTCTGAAAGATAATCAGGGCCCCTGAAAGGGCATTTCATAGCCACAAATAGAAAGTGAACCACAGGGCATATAGTGTTTCAGTGTTCACATATTATATATTATAAGTAAAGCTGGATTCTGTGTAAATAACCCCTCATAATGTATGGCTTAGATAGAAAACTTTTTCCCCCATGTTTCAGGTCATGTCATGATCCTTTGGCGTTATTTTTGTAGCCAAAGCACTTTAGTACCAGAGATATTTAAAACTCCATAGCTTGTTAAATCGCCTCACCTCACCTCACCTCATCTCACCTGTAAGTCACAGTCTATCATGCTTTGAAGTGTGAAACACATTATCTTGTGTTTTGTTTGAAATGCTTCAAGGCTGCAGACTTGTGGTTAAAAAGGCTTCACCACTGCAGTGACAAATAAAGGTGGATGATGGTACCTTTCTGAGATTTTTTTAAACATAAAAACAAATAATCTCTTCCAATTTCTTGTCTCTCCTTCCTGAGATATCGGACTATATATTAGTTGTAAAAAGACTAAACAAAACTAGGATGTTTCCGAATCTTACCTATCCTCAAAACAAATTTTGTTTTGTTTTGTTGGATACTAGTTTACATTTGCCTTCCTAAAGCCTATTTTGTTTTGTTTTGTTTTGTTTTGTTTTTTGGTTTTTTTTGCGACAGGATCTCACAGTGTAGTTCAGGCTGGCCTTGAACTCAGTGATTCCCTTGCCTCTGTCTCCCAAGAGATTGGGATTGTAGGCATGCGTCACCATGCCCAGTAAGTCTCTATTGAGAGAAAAAGATTGCATGATTTTACTAGTGAAACACCTTACACTTCTATCTTTAACTTTCCTCCCACATAGAATTTCCTTTTTAGTTTAAAGATATAACACTTTGCATTATTAGAAAACTAATATTCACTATCATAGGAGATAGTACATTATCTAGTGTGCCCAACTACCATTTTCAGAATCATTGCTGTATATCACTTAACATTTGGATTGTAGTATATAACAAGAAGGATGAAAGAAAAGATGCATTTTATAAAGAACTAAGAATGAGAATTCAAATTAAAACAGCCATGAAAACAGTGTAGCAGTTCCTCAAAGTATGCCCTGTCTATCCTATTCCCGGGTATGAATCTAAAGGGAAAAAAAAATCTATATCTCAGAACTATCTTAGAGATAAATGTATCTGAGAGAAACTCTATGCCCATGTTTAGTACTGCCCTATTTGTAATAGCTAAGATGTGAAATCATCCTACATGTTCGTTAACAAATAAATGGATAAAAATGTGGTGTATATATACACAATGAAATATAATTCAACCATAAAAAAATAACATAGCACTGTTTACAGCAAAACAAATGGAATTGGCCGAAATTATGTTGAATGAGTCAGATACAAAATGACAAATAGCATATGTGTGTCTCATACATGGATGCTAAAAATGCCAATCAGAATTTACATTATAGTGATTATTAGATGCCAGGAAGAGTGGGAAGTAGAGGAATAGAATTACATTGGGTAATAGGTATCAGGAAGATGAGACAGGAGATAGAAATAGAAAGCTTTAGTCTACAGAGGTGTGACTAGAGTTCACAGTGCTTACATGTTGAGTATATGTATTAAATCATCATTCTGTACCCCCAAACTAAAATTTAATGAAAATAATAATGTTTAAAATCCTGAGTTTAAAGTTTTTCAGTTAAAATTAAAATTCTCATATTTCTGTTTAAATAAACACTCCAATTTAAAACTGCAAGCCAAATTTAAGAAATAAAGAACTAACAAGCTGGAAATAGCAAATTTTTAATTAAAGCGCTTGGTCTGTCACAGATCAATGAATCAGATATCACATTTAATGGGTAAGGGATCTGTAGTACAGAAAAGGTAAATGGTTGGTTCACAGTCCAGGAAAGGTATAGGCTTGAACTCAGGCCACCTGTGTTCTAAATCAGTGGCCTGGGGGTTACTGTTACCTCTTCTATCCACTAGGAAGTTAAGGTCAATGGCAATACTCCAAAAAAGAAACTGAAATCAAATGAAAACATATCTAACATCCAGCTATCAGAAAGTTAGTCCATTAACTATGTAATTGATAGTCCATGTCAGATTTGGATTTATCCTTATAAAGTTGTTTTTCTAATTGTTTTGAAATAAACAATACATTAGTTGAGTGCATACATTTTAAGATATAATTTGATCAGTAGTTGAGTAAATGAGGAAAGCTGCTTTATGTTAAAACAAAAATGACTACTATGAGGTTTCCAGATAACCCTAAAGTCTGAAGGAGTCTAAATCTCATTACCGTGGAATTCATTCACAGAGCATTAATTAGTGATATTTGAAGTTATATCAAATTAAGACATGTTTAAAGTACAAAAGAAAGTGGCATACTTGTGGAACAGAGTTCTTACAGATTCTGATATCAGTCAAAAAATTCAACCAAACTTTTAAAAAGTTATTCTTATGAAAGAGCAGTTATATACTAGTTGAGATTCTTTGGGTGTCAAAAAACCATGAATCAGATAAACAATAAGAAAACTTAAAATTTCAGAAGTGCAGAGATAAGACAATGTATAACTTCTCAACTTTATCAGAAACCCAGCCCTCTCTCCACTCTGTGACAAATTTTCTGAAAGACCAACAGGGCATGCGGTCAGAAAGTTGGCTGCGGTAGGGCAGGAAGAGGGACCTTACTCTTTCATATCTGTTTCTTGAAAACAAAAAAAACTTTTCTCAGAAATCCCCCATTAGAATTCTCAGGTCTCAATGACCAAACCTGTGTTTTGTACATTTCTAAGCCAACTCCAGAACAGAAAGGTTACAATGATTGATTCCCAGACAAAGCAGTCCTGAAGTGCTGAGTTGAGAGTCATCCTTGTTTCATCCAAAGGGCGGAGGATTTGAATAAATTTTTTTCTTATTCAAAAGGGAAAGGCTGAATTAAGGAACCAAAATATTAATTAGGTAGCCTAAGTGTCCACTAAACTCACAGCTGCGGATCATTGAAGTCTAAGATGGAGATGTTATATATAAAGGTTATATATACTATTTTGTTATGTCTTAGAACAAGTTCTATGATAGTTGTACAGGAAAAGTGAAGCTTGAGCCCATTCCATACAATGTAAATTTTATATAATTGAAAAATACAACCAAAATTACAAACCAAGGAATGGTATATAGTATTATTAAACCTTGAATTTTAATCTAATGTAACAACTAAAACTGAAAAATAAATCTAACTTTTTGCATTGGGCATTTATATTAGCTTGCTAGGACTGCTGTAAAAAATATTATTATTAGAGTGACTCAACAGAAATTTACAAACATATCTCATTTAACAGCCAAGTTCATTTCTTGCCACTAGGTAGCTAAATGAATTGGTCACCAAATGAAGAATTGTATATATGTATATTATAATAATCAGAACAAGGAAATGGTCAAAGGAAACTCCAACTGGATAATTTTGTTTTATTTATATAACTTACATGCAGTATTGCAACATTTAATAGGACATAAAACTACTGTACTATACAGTACAATCCAAAAATTACAGTACCACATAAATGTAATGTATAAAAAAGATATTCTATGAACAAGGTATACAATACTGTCCAAAAAAAGAGACAGGTTGTAAGTCCAAGAAACAGATTGTAAGTCAGAAGTCATTAAATAGGTAGATCATTAAATGGAGAATATCTGTGGCATCTCACAGTTTGGAGCATTGAAATCTAAGATGAAGATATTGACTGTGCCATGCTCCTCTGAAGATACTACAGAAAACTCTATTTCAGGCCCTTGTCCTAGGCCATGGAAGTTTCTTGACATTTTTTCTGTGTATATATCTGAGTACAAATTTCCAAAGGACAGTGATCAGAAGGGAAGTGTACCTTCCTCCAGTTGGACCTTAAATCACTCAGTCTATGACAATGCTGTTTCCACATGAGGTCTCATGTAAGGCTCTGAAAATTATGTATTTAATGTACAAATTTCGGGGAGACACTATTCAACTCACATTAGAAATATGATTGAAGTTAATTATTAAGATAGATTTGATTTCAGAGTAGCATCAAAAAGAGAAAAGGCCACCCAGAAAATAGGATAAAATATTTGCAGTTATATTCTTTGCAAGAGATTTGAATCTAAAATATTTGAAGAACTACTACAACTCAGTAATAAAGTAAACAATAAAATATGTTTGCATCATACATGCAAAAAATAAATTTCTATGACATATTCCAAAGTGATAATTTAAAATAACATCCTGAGGAAGCTGAGTTTTCAGAGTCAAGTTGGCCTCTGAACTTGATTATCAGAAAGGCTCATGTAGGAAGTGACAGGGATGACGGGCCCTGCTGCATCCATAAAAATGAATCCTAAATCCTCTTCTATAAAAGCCAGGCAGACTGGCAACATTTTTAGAAGGGAACCCTAGCTAGTAACTGATTGACTTGCTCTTTCTAGGGAAGTGTTTATACACCTGCAGATTCTGATTTAGTTTTCTTCTAGTTATATCTGACAGCTAGCCTGCATCAACCTCCTATAACATGCACCCTTTAGCTCTTTGTTTGTTTTTGTAGCATGAGAAGACCATG